GTGATGTTATCAATGTTTGGCTGGCCTAAGCAAATGAACTTAACTTATTTGGAAGAATTCTATTTAATATAGTAGGGGGACAGATGCTCTTATCCTCGCTTGGTAGAGCTTCTTAAGAGTCTTCCTGGACTTCTTAATAAATGAAAAAATTATTATAAAGTAGATTGAGGAAAACTCTGGGATAGTAGCCTATTAAATACCTCTGGAGAGTATTCAAGCCAGGATTAAGATAATACTTCACCTAAGAATCAGTACTGTGCTACATGCAAAAAGGATAAAATGCTATAATGAATGATCTTGTGAAGCAACCTGGTTTAAACATTGTCCAGCTATACATTGGAGGGGTGTTATTTAATTAAATAGATGGAGTAGTGAAGGGTTTGACAATGAGTAAGAACGCAGTTATAGATAATTGGTTGAAGAGAACTGGCCACTGCATGAGGCAATCTAAGCTGTGATTGCTTGCTGTGAGTGGAAAGGGGGGGGTTCCTTGTTTCCCACCTTTGTCCTCTGTGAGATTTACCTCATGATGTCCCTGCTGCATTGATATATCTGCTGTTGTTTGTCTATTATTTAGTTTGCTGTATATATAGTGGTAAAAACATATTTATTTACATAAAGTTACAAGTATGTGTCAGCATCCATTTGGACACCAGCTGTGCAATTTTTTGACAGGTTATAGACCCCAAAGTGCCCAGAAGCACCAGTAATAAGTTTCTCTGAGATAGAAGTTTCTTCATGAGCCTGAGAGAGGTTGAGACTATTGGCCTGTAAAGACAGCACAATGCTGTTTGCTACAGGAATGGGAGGAGTATTTCCTTTGGCTCCTCTTAATAAGCTGAATTATCTCTCATAGAGCTTAAAAATGGGGATGTTTCTGCAGAGGAAGGATTTGTGGAAGTTGTAAGCAATTATCCAGCAGATCTCAATGAACAACAGAAAAGACAAAATGAAAAAGCAGTAGCCAGCATAATTTTGTGCTTGGAAGATAGACAGGTAATGCATGTGCATCTGACATCTGACAACTATTTGGGTTGTGCTTTTTGCAAAGAGGCCAAATCGAAAGTATATCCTGTCAGCAAAAGAAGTGAAAGAAAATCTGAAATAATTGTTCAGTTAGTGTATACCTCTATCACAATCAATGGGAAGGGCCAAATTTGCTTTAATAATTGTTGATGATTACTTAAAATATGGTTTTTGTTATTTATTAAGAAGCTTAACAGAAGTATTTAAACAATTTAAGCAGTGGGTAATGTTTGCAGAGAAGATGAATAATCCTTTAATAAAGTGTATGTCAACTACAAATTAACAGAGGAACAGAGTTCATGTCTAACATGCGTCATCAGTGGCTGAAAAAGAAAAGCATAAACTATAGAAAAGCAAATCCCTATACTCCAGCAGAGAATTGAGTTGCTGAATGCAGAAATGATGTATTTCAAAGTATGAAAGATGCCTTACTAGCAGACGCAGGAATGAGTAAGCTATATTGGAGTGAGGCAATTTTAACTGCCAATTATTTGATCAATAGACTATACAGTTTAGCATTTAATCAAACTCCATATTACATGTTGTGTAAAAGACAACCAACTTTGGTGCATTTAAGAATTTTTGGTAGCAGTGCATGGGTGCACATTCCCAAAGCAATTAGACAGCCAACGGCAAGGAAATCAGAATAGGACACAAAAATGTTATTATTTCACATTCTGCAAATTTTTCAGAACATGAGAATTGGAAAAAGGTACAGGACAAAAGGTACACAGGCTCATGGTATCTCAAAGTTGGAAGAAATTCAGCAAAAAATACTGCATGGAATATTGTCCTGATCCATGTCTACTTAGAATCACCAAAAATAGAAGCCAGGAGCTTTTGCATACAAAGCTGAAGCTTTTTTAATGAAGCTAAATGTCTGTGGACATTCTCAGTCATCCAAGATGATAGTTGTCTCAAAGGTGCTTTTTTTCTACAAAAGGCAACTGGACTGTTTTTTCCTTGAGGAAGAAAACGTTTTACTTCTCATCCAAGTAGTTTCATAAGTTCTGATGGCAGGGGAATGGAACTGATGAAACCTCTTGAACGAGAAGTGAAACATTTTCATTTTCTTCCTCAATGAAAACACAGTCCAGTTGCCTTTTGTAGAAAGAGCATCTTTGATACATTAATGAAGCTATTGTCTTTTCCCCAAATATAAAGTTTCTTTTAGAAAGAAGGTACTTGCCTGGATTGACATATTATCTTCATTTTTCCCACTTGTTTCTGTAGCATAGCTCTGATAAGTAGGAGGTACACTGCACATTCAAATGCTTCAGTCAGATAGTATATTTGAAGTGCCCAATTCTGAAGTTGTGGTATTATTTCAAAACAAATAATACCCCTTTCCACCCCCCCCCCAATTTAACGCTATTGGTTGGGAGAAAAATATTTCTACCGTGTTTCCCCAAGCACTTGGCTTTATTTTTGGGCAGGTCCTATTATTTTTGAAGTGCAGGAGGTGGTGAGCATGGTCACCTCATGGCTGCTGTTGTGTTGCAATGTTTTTGGAGAGGGCTTATTTTCAGGGGAGAGCTTATTTTACAGCATGCACTCAAAAGCTGTTTGGGCTTATTATCCTGGGAGGTCTTATTTTTGGGAAACCAGAGTGCTAGATTTTGAATGCAAAAGAAAGCTTCAACTTACTTCTTTCTCTTCCCACTATTTCAACCTCCCATTGATCACTGAATGCTGCTGTAGGCAACTATGACACTAAAATGCATGGCCTGAAAAAGAAAAGCAGCAGGGTTCATCTGATATAATCTATAAAGTGTCAAGGGACTTTCTATGTGCCATCTGACAATGCCAAATAGAATATTCCAGCCTTCAAAGAAGAGGATGGCTTCACTCTAATCTCAAAATGTTCCAAGCAGTACAGCCATTACATTTTGGGAGTTGATATCCACATAATCTATAAGATGCTCAGGAGGAGGAAAGTAAATTTATGCAGACGCACATTTGAGCACATGCTATAGGCTCCTCCCTATTTGCAGGAATCTGATGGAAGACCTTTGAAGTAAAAAGGACTGATCTAGATTCCCCTGCATTGTTCTTATACATTCAAGCTATTTTGCATAATCAAGAGAATGCCTTACATTTTTATTCTTCTAAGTCCTGATGTAACATCTCAAAACAAGGATACATTTTCATTCAGTCACTTGTATCTAACAAAGAATGATAATGCACATATAATGCTCCTTCTTCCCTACACATACAATTTGCATAAAAGATATCATGATAGTCTTTCTTTGGTTTGCCTTTGTTTCTCAGAACTCCATTATCAACTCACGTGTCTTCACCCAACCTTCTTATAAGGGGAAAAAACAGCACACCAATGTACATTTTCCAGCTGTTGTAAAGTGAGCCTGAGTTTTTTTAAAAAAAATTAAACCAGAAAGTATATTAAACTGTGAAAAAGATGCAGGAATATATTTGTAATATTAAGCAGTGGTACTATGTAAAATTTGGGGGAAAGGGAGGAAACTGGGGGAAAACAGCTTTGCAGCAACAACTGAAATGTCATCACATTGTTTAAATTTAAGGTCAGCAAAACATTCCTATTGTTTGAAAACAGCTATATTTTTTAACATGGTTCATTCTAATAAAATTCACATTCAACCACAGAAAGTAGCAGCTGCAGACATATCAGTAGAACTTGCCAGCTTCTTTCCTGCAGCCTTTGGAATGCTTTGTCACTAAAATGTATGATCTGTCATTGAAAGGCTCTTGACTTTTTCAGAGAGGAAGTAAAAAAAATCAATCTCACCATCCTATTGCCTTTGAAACTGCTGGGCAGTGACTGGTTCTATTGGAGAGAACTAATTCCACTAATCTTCCCCAGGCCCTTTGGGTGAATTAGACTACAACTCCCATCACCCTAGCTAGCATTTATGGTCCAGGCACATTGGAAGAATGTCAGGTTGAGGGATATTAAATCTAGTTCAAACAAACAAACAAACAAATAAACAAAGAAGGCATTGGACCTCCAACATCAAAGAATCCTCAAAATTTCAGTAAGCTTTCCATTCAAAAAGAAACATCTAGTAGGAAAATTGGCTCTAAATGGGTGGGTGGTTGGGTGGGTGTTTTTTGTTGTTTTTTTACGTTTTAGGAGCACAAATTGTGGTGGGTCATTTCCCCCCCACCTGCTGCCTGTCTCTCCTAAGAAAGCCTTAGTTTTAGAGGGTTCTATGGAAATGGTTTCTATTGTTTGTTTCCCAGAGAATGCCCAAAATTCTTGTACCACCATGTCTCCCACCTTCCGTGAAATAGCAGCCTCCCCACATTCACCAAAAGTCGACGCCCTTCAATTTCTCCTCCTACACCTAGGCGTCCTCGAGATCGGTTCTTTATTGTTGAGAGAAAACCTCACGCATTTTGTAAAGTGAGCCCTAATTTACAAGAGAAAATTTCAGACTTTTTCTCCCACTCCCATCGCTTAAGGGCCGTTCCAGATAGCGCCCTCTGGCAGGTGAGACAGAAATAGTTAATGCTAATAACAAAGCGGAGGTTCTCCCTGCCCTTTTTCAAGACTCGCTTTTTCCTTCTTTCTCCTCTCCCCGGACGCGGTTGCATTTGCCAAAGGGAATACCGAAAAGCCGCATTCTTCTGTTGCGCCTCTATCTCTTTCTTGCGCATATGGCTAAATCGAAGTAAGAACAGTCCGTCGCTATTTCAACCCGTCAACCATTATAGTACACATTTCGCTCGAATAAAAAAACCTGCTTTAAGTCTTACGCTGGTCTCGACTGCTACTCAACATAAGAAAAACAGAAACGGGCGACAGCGCACGAACTACTAAATTTAGATAGCTGGTGTGCCTGAGCAGATATTATTAGCCGTCGCATTCGATGAAAGCTACATGCGCACACAAATGGGCAGACCCCAACGGCACCACCAAAGCTGTTTTCACTGTGCAAAGACCGCTCTTCGGAGAAACCCGCAGGGCGAGGCCCACCCAATTTGGTACTCACACCACTAGCCTAGAGATGATCCAAGAAACCATGGCGCTGCCGGACTCCGGTGACAGCAAGACGATGATAGGATTTTCTCCGGGCTCGAGTCGGTCCGCCCGCAGTCGCTAGAATGAGCAGAGCAGGCGTCTCAGCCATTCGGCATCCAGCGCGCAGCCTCACTAGGGAGCGGCCGGAAACAGTAGCAGGCACTCGCTGAGATGTGGGATCCTAACCTCGCCTGGAAGGCTGGGGCAGCTTTAGCACCTGTTCTCGGGATCTCTGTCTGTCCCCCTGCTATGCCTCTTCCTTTGAGAAAAGGCGCATCGCTCAAGTGGTCGGTCCTCAGATTACCACCCTTTGCCTGAATTGGAGATGGGCAACGAAAACAAGCAGCTCCTTTGCTTTCATGATTGCAGCACGTGGCCATTCCGAAGCAATTGATATGCCCGACTGAGACAACCATCATTATACAAAGCCATAAGTTGTTTTAAGCTTGGTTTGTTGAACAAAGTTTACCGCTTACCACCTACACATTTTTCAGCTATGCGTGGAAGTTGCTATTACATGCTTCTTAGAGATAATTCCAGTACTACAATCTCTAAGGGCACATGTTGGATTTTTATGCTAGGTCATAGTTTACCAAGCCATTGTAAAGTATAACGGACAAATAACATGGGTTTTGTTATTTGTTAATTAACACAGTTACCTTGTATTTTAATTTGACTGATGGGCTGACTGCTAAAGCAAGGTCGTGGCACACACTTGAAAGTAAATCAGGAAGACTGTAATTGGTGTGTGTGTGTGCGTGTTTGTGTGTGAAGAACAATGCCCATCAGGAAATATGCATGTGTAAAGTTTGTAGCAATTATGGGTAGTTAGAAAGTTGATAAAAGTAACAAGGATTAGACAACTTGCAGATCTCAGCCAAAATTTAGCAATGGAGATGATCTGCAGCAAATGAAATGTCTATTAGATAACTCCTGGAGCATTCATTCGCCAAGGCTTAGGAATGGGACAGCTATAAACCAATAGAACAAATTGTAGAATTATTGCTAAAATGTTTATTAGAGGATATTTCTTATTTCACCTTGTCCTACTTCTCCTTTAGTGAAAATGTACAGGGGAAACTTAAAAAATTAGAATATCGTGCAAAAGTTCATTTATTTCAGTAATGCAACTTAAAAGGGGAAACTAATATATGAGATAGACTCATTACATGCAAAGCAAGATAGTCATAATTGTGATGATTATGGCTTACAGCTCATGAAAACCCCAAATCCACA